AAGGGTTTTCAATGGCTGTGATTGTTGAGAAGTAGATTGCCAGGCCTTTGCTCTGAGGTGCCAATGGATGGATTCAAACTGCCAACCTTTTAGTTAAACAGCCAAGCACTTAAACATCTGTACCACCCAGAGACTCCTTCTTATATTCTTTAGTGTTTTCTATATTCTAGTTCCTGTAATAGTTAGTAATTCTATTAAGCTTTTTCTGTTCAAAATACTGTGTGTTTCTGTCTCCTGATCACACCCTTAACAGACACACACTCTCTTTACTCTGCATTATTCTTTACAGTGGTGGTTGACTGATGTTGTCTAGTCAGTTCCAACTCACAGTGACCCTATGTATAACAAAATGAAACTTTGTCTGGTCCTGAATCATCCTCACAATCATTGCTATGTTTGAGACCATTGTTGTAGCTACTATGTCAATCCATCTTGTTGAGAGTCTTATTAACTAAAATTACATTTGTATCTCATTACTTTTTATTATCAGTATCATCCATTAGATGTAAGCTCCATGAAGGCAGAGACTTTGGTTCACTTCTGAGTGAATTTCCAGTACCAAGCACAGTTAACTAGTCATGACAGACTGACAATAAATATTTCAGACTGATCAAATAAATGAATCTTTGGTCACAGTAGACCAAATTATATTTTCATATTTTGAAATATTAGATTATATCAATGAAGCCATATATCTTACAGATATCTGTTCTTTAACACATAGAGAACACACACTCCTACACATTCACTCATACATGGTATTCCTTAAGGCTACACCTCAAAATTAAACTTTATGAGAGTGTAAAAATTCCACCTTACTGCCATTTAAACCTGTGAGGCTCAAGTAACACAAACACAAAATTCTTCTTGTTCTATAAACATTTTACAAGGGGTGGACAGCAACTACTAAATGAGGTGGGGGTGATGGGTAAGCCTTAGGCTTTGCCCACAAACACTGGCAAGCTTCCAAAGAATAACAACAGTTGTGACTGCCCAAATTAAACTTTTGGCACCTGTGGTTTAAAACATCCAAAATATTCTTTATCGCTAATAATTTAATAATTCAAACTCTATTTTAAAACACATTCAGAATAGAAAATTGCAACACTTTCTGTAACAACCAGTCTATAACTTCTTAAGTGTCATCAACCATTCTGTAGGTCATTCTTTCTCTGATGTATACACATAAAAATACTTACCACTGAATCTCTTTCAACTTTTTTGTAGACCCTATTTTGCTACATTTTGTGGCCTTTCTTATTTTCACCTGGGAATACTGCAAATAATGCACTGGTTCCTGGGAAGTTAAGAAAAGACATTACATTGGGGAAGCATAAGGGCCCAGTGTTTGAATTCATCCAAAACTGCTAGAAAACAGTCAAAATCTGTTTTGATTACCTCTCTATATCTATTTTCTGATTTATCTCTGGTAATATGAAAGATAGAGAATGCCAAAGGCCACAAAAATGTAAAACGGATGAATATGAGGTTTTTAGAGGAAATCACTTACTCTTCTGAAGCAATCTGAGACAAAGGTAAGAAAACTCTGAAGAACAAGAGACAAAAGGTAAGAAAACTGGAAAAACAATGACTTGTCAGTTTTTTCCTTCCTTTATATTGTTTAACTTGAACATACACTGAATAAAATTTCAGTATCTGTAAAAACTGTTTTTCACTACCAGTGGCAAGAACTTCCATTTAACCTCCATAACCTCTTGTTCTTGAATATCAAGTTTCCCCAGTTGCTTCAAAGCTAAACCTGTGCCCTGTCTCTAGGACACTGTCACATTAAAATTAGGTTAACTGGCTCTGCTACCTCTGTCCTTGATTCTAGCATTAGACTACGAGAGCCTAGAGCAGGTATATAAAAATTGAAGCTATAGGAAATGCACCCCCACCCCAAGGAAATTCCATGGGGGAGAATATGGGAAAAATTCAAGTATCAACAATACGTATATGTTTCCTTAAAGACATCTTAGCCCTAAATACATTTCTATATTTTTTTAGAGTCAATAACACATTTAGTATAATTTTGATTGCTCAGCTTCCTATATTTCTATATTTAACGAGGAGAATGGGGTGTTTTCACCTTTGTCATAAGTTTCAAAGAAAACTAAAATTACATAAATCTCCAGGAATATTAAGCCAAGTTTTCCAAACTGCAGTTGGTAAGATCGTCTTCCTTGACACCCACGCTAGAGGAATAAATTATTTTCCACAAATGAAAAAAAAAAAAATCACATAAAATATTACCTGGTTCCCAAAACATATGTTACTTGAAAGGCCTTAATACGATTTTAGCTAAGATAGTATAAATGCTAAATTACCTCAACAGTTTCAGCAAAACAACCTTGAAGGAAATCAGAAATAACCATAAATAGTAACTTTCAAAAAGACAGGGGTAACTTTTTTTTTCCTAACATCACTGTTTAATTAAAGTTTTACCTTTCAGTGTTACAAGAGCCTAACCCTATACAGCATTTATCCACAATGGAATATAACATGGGCAATATTTTGGCATAAATCTAAATACAGGGCCAACCTGCATTAAATTTACATTGTTGATGGAAGACTGATCCAGGAGCTGGGAAATCTACGTCAGAGTCTCATTTACCATCTTGGCTGGCTGTATAATTATAAGTAACCTAACTTAATACCCAAATCCTCATCTATATAAGAATGATGCTAAACTAGCTGCTCTCTGTGATTCTTTTCAGGCATGATTCTATCTTTATCATTCCTACCATTTCCATTCATTCTTCCAGGGATTTCATTGATTCATCATTTATTAAGCACCTATTGCATCCTTGGGATAGACCCCATCTTCTACTCTCACTGGGTTTACATTTTAATTGTCCCACTCGTGTGTTAGAAAATGAGTACTTAAAACATCAGCTTAGACTTAGTAATGGGATTAAAAACAATAATTATTTTTAAGTAGCTTCATTTGCTTTGAATTAATAAAATGCATTCATGAATTATTATGAAACTCTTCACATTTGATAATGCCCAGAAAATGAGAATGTTATTAAAATATTTTGTCTAATAAAGATATATTAGACATGGGACTGGCATAAAACCCTTTAATTAAAACCAATTACAAACATATTTAGGTAACTTCCAGGCAGTAAAAATAAAAAGGCCCATTCAAATAAAAAAGGTATTATAAAATCAGTTTGGAAGGAGGCAGATCTCAGTTCAGTCTCTAACATGAACACATGGCTGAGTAACACCAGTTTGTGATGATCCATTCTTGTCAACTTTTAATGCTTCTGACTGATGAAAAGCATGAGACATCATTTTTAAGTATATGCTGGTTTCCTTATTTTCACTTTTCTTTGTACAACTGTACAGAATTCATCAGATGCTTAAGAATACTGACACACAAATGAGACCGCTAGTCCCCTCCCAAAAGAGATGGCCTAGTTGACAATACTAATCTCAAAAAGAAATTCTAGAAGAGAGATTAACAATAAACAAATGACAGTACTCCAAGGCAGAATATGCTCTTAAAATAGCCAAAACTTCATGTACTCAATATGGTGCTTCCTGTTAAAGCTCTTATTAATAAGGAGATAACATTTACTCAGCAAGTAACAGGTGCTAGGCACTGTGCAAGTAGGTAGTTTTCACTTTTATCAAGAACTCTACACACGAAAATAGTCCCAATAAGGTGGACATCTACAATAAGAGAAATCCACTCCCCTTCACACAAGGATTCCAACAGCCTAGGAGTATATTCTAAGGCAAATGCCTTAGATGTAGTAGTTGGAACAAGAAAAGGTCTTGGTCAACTAAGGCCTATTATATTGTGTTGTTGTTAAGTGCCGTCGAGTCGGCCCGACTCATAGCGACCCCTCCTTGGGTTTCCGAGGCAGTATCACTACGGAAGTAGGATTGCCCAACCTTCCTTCTGAGGAGTGGCTGGTGGGTTTGAACCACCAGCCTTCTGGTTAGCAGTCAAGTGCCTTAGGCACTGTGCTACCAGAGCTAAGGCCTATTATATAAGGAATGATGAAAACTTAGGTCAGACAAGGTACGGGGGCTTGACCAAGATCATCCATGTTTAACAGCAGAGCAGGGATCAAACCAATAATCAAAGTATTCATATACCATCCTGCTTGTAACTGTTTGGTGAAATTTAGTAATTAATTTTATCTTCTCACTAAGTTACTCAACACTAGGTACTAGTACTTTTATTAAAATTATCATAAAACACTTCTAACACATATGTCCCAGAATCCCCAAATAATACTTTGCCGTTTTCTATGTAATAATTTAAAAATCTATTGATAAGCAGTAATCTGGGTTTGAACACTTGTATAGTTCCCTAACTGCTTGCTGTCTTTATAAAGATCCTAGATGCAAAGGAGGATAGGATAGGATGGGATGGGGTGGGGTGTGTGCATATCATGTACGTACGTACGTATGTATGTATGTGTGTGTATATTTGTTGTGTGTATATACGTAGTGAAGGAATCAGGTAGCTAACGTTAAGATTTCCGCTGATAACCCGCCGCTTTGATGATGCCGACCCGATGATCCCGACCCGATGCTCCCCATCCCCTTAGCGATCCGTAACCCGCGAGCCGGGCAGGAGAACGGAGAATAAGTGTGCAGTAACGTGGCTCCCGCGCCCTCGGCTCATCGGCTGCCCTCACGCCGCTGCTCCGATGCTACCGACGCCGGGACGGTTCCGAACGCCGGCTAGGCCGAACCGTTACGGGGCAGCGAGCCCCGCGCGGTGCCCCTCCCCCATCAAGGCCTGAGGCTAGCTGCGCCCACCCCGCCGCCGCAGCTCCGCGCGCGAACAATACAGGGGATGTCCCGCGAGGCCAAACGCCGACAACCCGCTCCGCACGGCCACTCCGCCCCGCGGGCCTCTTGGAGCGGCGCTGAGCCTCAGGCCTTGAGAGACAACCTCGCGTGAGACAGAAGGAAAAAAAGAGAGAGGAGGCGGATAGTCAGGGCTTGAGAGGCCGCCATCCGCTGACCCGTACCTGGTTCCAGGTGATGAACTCGTTGGTGTGGGCTTCCTCCACAAGAGTCCACAGCTTGCTGAGGAAAGCCGGCACGTTCGAACTCTGCTTCATTGTTACCAAGGCGCAGGGATTCCAAATTCTACACCCAAGCGAGGTGGTAACAGCAGCGGCCGCAGCTGCTCTCCGAGAACGTCCACAACGCAGGCGCAGCAGCTCTCGGGCCCCGCCCCCCCAGCCCCGCCGGGCGGGCTGCGAAGCTGGGAGGCCTGGCCGCCGCACGTGACGGACAAGTCCCGGCCTTGGGCCCGCGCGCAATGCTCCCGCGCCGGTCCCTTTTCTGGCCAATCCCAGGCATTGACCACTTCTACACAGAAAAGCGATTGGATGCTGTAGAAATGAAGGAGGTGGGAGCATGAGCGGACGATGCCTTCTTATTCGCGGTTCTTTCCAGGGCCAGCTGAGTATCCGAGCTTTGGCTTGCTTTGGTGCACTGTTTGGTTGTTTCACGTGGAGGCAGCTTTAGGTTCCTGAGTTGTGGCTGAAGATGCAGAAAGCCCTTAGGGGCCTTTGAGTTATAAATTTGGCAGGCAAAATGTGGTTTGCACCATTCTAAAAACAGGAGTAAAATACAATAATTCACATGGAGGAAAAAGTAAGCAATTTCAAGTCTGATGTGCCTGACCCAAAATTGAAACTATTTTAAAAATAATTAACCTTGTTCTTGCCATTAATTTTCTATTAGGAGAAAAATGGCCCTTTAAACTGTGCTTATCGAGAAGAAATAACTCACTCTTTATTAAAGGCAGTGGTCAAAGCATTCTGCTGCTAACCAAAAGGTCTGCGATTCCAAAGCGCGGGAGAAAGGTGAGGTTTCTGTGAAGATTCACGGCCTTGGAAACCCTATAGGGCAGTTCTGTTTTGTCCTATCGGGTCACTTAAGAGTCGGAACGCGACTCAATAGCAATGAGTGGGTTTATTGTGAGCCGGAAACTGTAATAGTCATGTTGCATGCTTTTTCTTACTCAGCAAAAATGGAGTGCCCACTTTATGCCTAGCATTTTTTTTTTTTTCCAAAAAAATAAAGGCTCATTCAAATTATTGTAGTCAATTTAAGTAACTGTGCCTGCATATGTAGTTATGTTTATGTTTGCTTGAGACAGTTTGCTATACTGGAATCAATATTGGACAAGGAAGAAGTCAGCAGATCTGAGTTTAGACCCGGCTTCATTTGCACTTTAAACTCCACTGCCATCAAGTCTATTCCGACTCATAGCGATGCGTTAGGAAGGAGTAGAGTCGCCCATAGGGTTTCCAAGGCTCTCAATCTTTATGGAAACAGATTGCCTCATCTTTCTTCCACAGAGCAGCAGGGGGTCTAACTGCTCACCTTTTGGTTAGCAGACTAATGCTATAATTATTATGTTTGCACTGTGTAATTTGGAGCAGTCCTTTAATCTATATGTGCCAGTCTTCTTCATCTCTTAACTGAGAATAAGAATATTTGTCTTCTCAACTGTGTAAGTGTAGCTTTAATAACATGACATAAAAATGCTTTGAAAATATAAACTATTCTACAGAATAGTTTCAAGACAGTCAGCAATGAAAATAGGTAACATTTCCCCTCAGATATTACCGTTCTGAGCTGTTGCCCTCCATAGACAGGCCATGCTAATTCCAGCCACTAAATACTTGATCATCTGTTGTGTCTAGTTCTTTAAATTATCCAAATGCATTTGTACTTCAAGACCTAACTAACTTAAGGTCCCCATCTTTCTTGATGTCTTCCCTCACCACCTTAATTCACTAACCTCTGTCTCTTCTAACCTTTTCTAGTACTTTACCAGTATATAAAATTTAGCTCATATTTTGTTTCAATATCAATGTATTAATTTCCATCTAAAAAAAAGTTGTGATTAACACACAGAAATCACAGTTGTGATTAACAGCAGAAACCCCTGTTCATATAGCTTGTAGCAAAGCTCAGTTGATTGGGTATGTGCCCTGTGAAGTCCAAGAGGGCCCATAGTTGGTAGAGCCTCTTGTTGTTAGGTGCTGTCCAGTCTGCTCTGACTCATAGCAACCCTCTGTACAACAGAACAAAACACTGCTCAGTCCTGTGCTATCCTCACAATCCTTGATACACTTGAGCCCATCATCGTAGCTACTGTGTCAAGCCATCTCACTAAGGGTATTCCCCTTTTTTTGCTGACTTCCTACTTTACCAAGCATGATATCCTTCTCCAAGGAATGGTCCCTTCTAACAACATGACTAAAGTATGTGAGACGAAGTCTAGCCATTCTTGCTTTTAAGAAGAATTCCAGCTGCTCTTCCTCCCAAGACAGATTTGTTCATTCTTCTGGAAGTCCATGGTATTTTCAGTATTCTTCTCTGACACCACAATTCAAAGACTTAACTCTTCTTTCATTTTCCCTAGTCACTGTCCAGCTTTCACAAGCATATGAGGCTACTGCAAATACCATAACTTGGGTTATGTGCACCTTAGTCTTCAAAGTGACATCTTTGCTCTTTAACACTTTCAAAAAGCCGTTTGCAACAGATTTTCCCAGTGCAGTACAATATCTGATTTCTTGACTGACTGCTGCTTTCATGGGTGTCGACTGTGGATTCAAGTAAAATGGAATCTTTGACAACTTCAATGTCATCTCCATTTATCGTGATGTTGCTTATTGGTTCAGTTGTCAGAATTTTTGTTTTCTTTATGTTGAGGTATAACCCCTACTGAACACTGTAGTCTTTGATCTTTGTCAGTAAGTCTTCAAGTCATCTTCACTTTCTGCAAGCAAGGTTCTGTCATCTGCATATTATAAGTTGTTAATGAGTCTTCCTCCAATTCTGATGCCTCATTCTTCTTCATTTAGTCCAGCTTCTCGGCTTATTTGCTTAGTATTCAGATTGAGTAAGTATGGTGAAAGGGCTCAACCCTGATGCATATCTCGCCTGATTTTAAATTATGCAATATCCCCTTGTTCTGTTTGAACAACTGTCTTTGGTCTATGTACAGGTTCCTCGTGAGCACAATTAAGTGTTCTGGAATCCCCATTCTTTGCAATGTTATCCACAATTTGCTATGATCCAAACAGTTGAATGCCTTTGCATAGTCAGTGAAACACAGGTAAATATCTTTCTGGTGTTCTTTACTTTCAGGCAAGAGCTATCTGAAATCAACAATGATATCCCTTGTTCCACATCCTCTTCTGAATCTGGCTGAATTTATGAAAGTTATTTGTTAATATCCTGCTGCAACAATTTTTAAATTATCTTCAGCAAAATTTTATTTGGGCATGATATTAATGATATTGTTCAATAATCTCCACATTCTGTTGGATTACCTTTCTTTGTAATAGGCACAAATATCAGTCTCTTCCAGTCAGTTGACTAGGTAGCTGTCTTCCAAATTTCTTGAAATAAACAACTAAGTGCCTTCTTCAGTAATGCACCTGTTTGTTGAACATCTTAATGGGTATATAGTCTATTCTTGGAGCCTTGTTTTTCTACAATTCCTTCAGTGCAGTTTGGATTTCTTCCTTCAGTACTATTGGTTCTTGATTATATGCTACATCCCGAAATGGTTGAATGTCAACCAATTCTTTTTTGGTGCGTTGACTCTTGACTGCTAACAAGAAGGCTGGTGGTTCAAACCCACCAGCCACTCCTCTGAAGGAAGGTTGGGCAATCTACTTCCGTAGTGATATTGCCTCAGAAACCCAAGGAGGGGTTGCTATAAGTCAGGTCCGACTCGAAAGCAGTGGGTATATATATCTACACTTTGTTTATCTGTTCATCTATTGGTAGACATTTCAGTTGTTTCCACATTTTGCTTGTTATGCTGCAATGAGTGTTGGTGTACAGGTTTCTATTAGTGTTCCTGCCTTCACTTCTTTTGGGTATATATCTAGGATTTGGATTGTTAAAGCATATGGTAATGCTATGTCAACTTTTTGAGGAACTAATAAGCTTTTTTTTTCCCTTTTAATTGTGCTTTGGGTGAAAGTTTACAGAGCGTATTGATTTTCCATTTAACACTTTGTACACATTTTGTTTTGTGACATTAATTACAATCCCCTCAAGGTAATAGCACTCTTCCTACTTCTTCCTTGAGTGCCTTGTTTCCATTTGTTCCTCTTTCCTGTCCCTTTCTGCCTTTTGTGCTTTGTTTCTGGACAAAAGTTGCCCTTTTAGTCTCATATTGTTGATCTGAGGAGTACGTTCCTCATGGGTGTTATTGTTCACCTTATAGGCCTGTCTATTGCTTGGCTGAGAAATGATGCTCAGAGGTTGGTTCCGTTCCAACTTTGAAGGGTTCCTAAGGGCCATACTCTTGGCTGTTCCATCAGTCTCTATCATTCCAGTAAGTCTGGTCTTTCTTATGATTTTGTATTTTGTTCTTCATTTTTCTCCCACACTGTCCGGGGCTTTCTACTTGGATCCTGATCGCATTGGCAGATAGTTATAGCAGGGCATCATCTAGTCCTTCTGATTGGAGGGTAGTAGAGGCTGTGGTTCATGTGGTACATTCATCTTTTGAACTACTTGTTTCCTTGAGTCTTTGATTTTCTTCAGTGTTCTTTGCTTCAGAAAGGGAGAGACCAATAATTGCACCTTAGATGCCAACCTATTTCCACATTTTCCATTTTACGTTGCCCCTTTTACATTCCCACCAGCAATGGATGAAGGTTCCAGTTTATCCACAACCTTACCAACACTTGTTTCTTTCCATTTTTTTTTTTAAATTATTATTGCCATTCTAATGAGGTGATATCTCATTGTGGTTTTGATGGTGTAGTGATTAAGTGCTTGGCTGCTAACTGAAAGGTCAATGGTTCAAACCCATTAGCCACTTTGTGGGAGAAAGATGTGGCAGTATGTTTCCACAAAGATTACAGCCTTGCAAACCCTATGAGCCATTTGTACTCTTTCCTATAGGGTCACCATGAGTCAGAATCAACTTGATGACAATGGTTTAGGATTTTTTTCTTAATGGCTAATGCAGTTGAGCATCTTTTATGTACTTGTTGGCCATTTGGACATCGTCTTTGGTGAACAATCTGTTCAAGTCCTTTGCATATTTTCATCTGGGTGGTTTTGTTGTTGTTGTTAAGTTGTGGAAGCTTTATACATACAAGCATGTATTGTTTAATTTCTGTTAGGGCAATGTCCAACCAGTTATATGTCCGTAGTTCAATATGGCTTTTTTTTTTTTTAATAAAAAGGGGAAGCAGCTTTCCTTTTGTTTATTATTTCCCCCAAATGATATAAACCACTAA